GGGACAGCTGACCCCAACTGACCCAAGGGATATCCCACACCATATGGCGTCGTGCTCAGCATATAGAGCTGGGGGAAGAAGGGGGAAGGGGGGCACGTTCGGAGTGATGGCGTTTGTCTTCCCAAGTCACCGTTAGGCGTGATGGAGCCCTGCTTTCCTGGGGATGGCTGAACACCTGCCTGCCCATGGGAAGGAGTGAAGGAATTCCTTGGTTTGCTTTGCTTGTGTGTGCGCGGCTTTTGCTTTCCCTATTAAACTGTCTTCATCCCAACCCATGAGTTTCTGTCTCACTTTTACTCTTCTGACTCTCTCCCCCATCCCACCAGGGTGCAGCGAGCGAGCGGCTGTGTGGGGCTTAGCTGCCGGCTGGGGTTAAACCACGACAACTGAGTCAATGTCTACACATGACGGTGCTGTGCCACCCGGAGGAAAATGCCACTGCTTTCCAAACATTCCTGCAAACTGAGGAGCAGGCTCAAACACTGCAAGTACCATCATCTACCCTTAATGGATTTAAGATATATTTTTATTTTTAAAAAAGGAAGATATTTGAGAAAATGAACAACTATGATAAGCCTGCTTGACCTCTACATAATCCCTGGGTAAAACCAGACAAGCTGGAATAGCCATGGACTGATCTATCTTTCAGCAAACACCTATTCTGATTCCATACGGTGTCAGAGACAGAGGCTGAGTCCATAAAATCTCTTCAGTTTAAACTCCTGTGTGTACCAGTAAGAATTCTGCCTGAATAATGACCAACAGTGTAGAATGGAAAGAGGGATGAGGGGCTTTGCTTTGGGCCAGGAAAGATAAATGCCCATTTCTCTTCCACTTTTCAGCAAGACCTGAGGTCTCCCTGTTCCAGCACTGAGGCTACAGAACTTCCAGAATGTAATTACACTTGATAATGAACACCTCTGCCAAACGATAAAATTCAAAACTACAAATGTCCAACAGGACTGTGTGCTCCTGAGCATTGCATTGGCCTCGACAAAGGACTCTGTTGCACGCAAACAGCATGACCTCATGGATCACACCATCTGCATGAGTTTAGGTTGAAAATATAAGCATTTCCCCCTAAAGCACCGAGATAGAGTAGGTGAAGAAATCTGCATTTTTACCAACGTCAGAGACAGAAGGATGGTAACTCTTAGTAGTGAAAGAATCACTGTTACTTCACGGCATGCTTTTTCCAGAGTTGCCTGTAAAAGCACTCAGGACTATGTCCCCTCAGAAAAGGAAGGGCTCATATGCAGAAAGGCAGCTGCTCATTTTTGGTGTCCTTCATGATGCAGAGCGCCAGGCAGCACCCGCTATGAGGAGGGGGACATTGCTTCTTCCTTTACAGTTGCTGGACCTGTCAGGCAGGAGCTCCTCGCGGGGTGACAGTGCTGAAAGCAGTGGTGAGACAGGCAGCAAACGGGGAGGCTACAGCAGGAGCGCAGACAGTGGTCACCCGAGAACAGCACAAGTCTTCCTGCAGCAGGAGCAGACTAGTGGCCAAGCTGGAGAGACTATGGGAAGGAAAAAGCTTCTCTAGGTACTCATGGAATTTGTTCTGTCTAAAAAGTAATGAAAATGATTGGGACAGTAGGGAAAAACTGAAAGGAAGGACACATGCCCTGCAAGGACACTGTCATCTGGAGATAAACTTGTTTGCAAGTCATTCGATAATTGTGAGGTTTCCTACTGAACAAGTTGTCTTGTTCTATTTTATTGCTTTTGTGAGCTAGCAAGGTGATCTTGGGATTGAAAACACTTAGCTTCTCCTAGTGGACTTTCTTCAAAAAGGAGAGGGGTGTTGCCATGTCACTGCTACATCCAACTCGGGCTCCCATAGCTGAGGGTCAAGACGGAGAGGATGACTACCTATCATGAGGTATCTGCAAATGCTATTTTCTGTTGGGAGGCAAAAGGACAATTTAAGAAGGAATTTGACTGCTGCTTAAGACAGACAGCTGATTTCAAAAGCTAGGATGGATAAGTCCCTGTAAGACTCTACTAGTTAGCAGGAAGGTTAAGAAGTAATCCTATTATGTTATCATTCAAAAGTTAGAGTAGGCCTGTATAGAAACCCTCAAGTATTAAACTCTATTAAGGCAATTTTTTAAAAAAGAAAGTCTTTAACCCATATAATTCCTGTATCAGCATGTGCACGCTACTGGACAGAAGAGAACTTACCTCCAACACCTCAGCATCCTGGACTTGGCAGTAAAAAATTTGGAGAAATCATGAAGGCTTACTGGTAATTGTTTCTCATGGATATAAAAAGGAAAAAAAAAAAAGAAAAGAATCGGCCCATGACTTGACTCAGGCTGGCTTACAGAGGCAGGTAGTGATAAAATCTGCAGTGATGTCAGACAAGCAAAGGACTAACTGATTAAAAAAAAAAAGAAAACAGGGAGGGATGTTTTTTTACAAAATTAGATACAACATATTTTCTATAGCTGCCATTTCAAGTAAATGACTCAGCTGTTTTAATTAGTCTCTCAAAATACCAAGGGAAAAAAAAATGAGGTCACATACAGGCTTATCTCTTCTCTTATTTTCTGGTTGGGAAAAACCCCCAAAACTTTTAAAAATCCAAATTCTGAAGAAAGTGTTAAAAATCTCATTTTCCCCATACCTTTTAAACAAGCTACCTTTGCTGCTTCTAGGATGTCTGTTACAATGCTGTCCTCTGCTATCCTGTCTTTCAAAGATATGAACCACTGACAACTCTTGCTGTCTCTTTAGGAGATATAGCAACTCAGCACCTGAGAAAATTAGATCTTGACTCAAGTCAATTTAATATCAGACAGAAGTGTTCACTGCTAGCCTTGACGGTCCAAAACACCTATTTATCCATCTCACAGGTATGTTACACAGAGTGGCAGTAGCAACACATGCAGATGGAATTTGACATGACCTACAGATAGAGGGAAAAGAATTCATTCAGCCTGTCCCACTCAATCGGAGATTACAAAGGTTTCAATGACAAAACACATTTTGTATCATAAGCACCTCCGTGTTAGCAATTAGGGGAAAAAACACTTCACTAAAGATGTTTAAGAAAGACAAAAGAGTTTTAGTACGTACTGGTTTCAGAGCTGTTCCCTGTTCAAACTAGCAGGCTAAGTGCCAAAAGAAGGAGTAACATTCCCATAGTGTCTAAGTTAAAATTTATTTAATACGAAAAAGTTTACAAATCCACCATGCAATCCACCACGCACTCAATCTGGATCTAACGAGACTAAAGTATGACTTTGTGCTGCTTTACCCACAAAACTCTTCCAGCTACAGAGGTCTGAGTGGTTTACAAGTATTAACTAAGATTAGTTTTACTGAACCCACGTGAAGAATAAACGGAGGACACAGACAAAAGAAGAAGTGCTGTCTTTCCACTCCAGTTCTCTAACCAGGCGACCACGCTTTCTTTCGTAACAATTTCATACAGAAAATGTTATTTCATCCTACAAGTCAGCCAAGTGATTTGATTCGACTCTTCTACTCACAAAGGAAAAAATATTTCTGAAGAACAAATAAACATGTGCCTTTTTGACTGTCTGACAGTAGTTATTAGAACAGACTTCATAAATTATTCTCAGTAGATTTAGTCAGAAGGAATGCTCTCCACCTATCTGACAGTTAAAATAGGGGCAGTGTCACAGACATTTCAGACAACTGATTTCTATCGAGCTTTTGCAATGATCTCTGTCACTGCCATTCCTAGCTCCTCAATATTGTGCCCATAGGAATAGGTCCTTTTAAGAACCTAGAGCTCTCCAAGGGGGACATATCCATTGCAAGCAAGTTAAACTTACTGAATCCATTAACATCTTGGCAGCTGGAAGAAAAAGCTTCTTCATTGTGAACAGCACTGAGTTTGGTAGAGGTCTTGTCGGAAGTAGCCACGGGACCCATCTCCCTCTGCGTGCTGGTCTGAGTCTCCTTCTGCTTCTTGGCTAGCTTCCTTTAGGGTATTTTGAAGAGGGGAGAAATCAAGGTCAGTTTTCCCTCATTAAAAACAAACCAATGAGAAAATATTTTGACAAGCACAATTATCCCACTTGGTCAGACATGCAGGGCATGTGGCAAACGGCACGAGAAGAAAGGCCACAACTTTTTAATATAACTGTTGTGGAGCACAATAAATATAGTGATACCAGTCTTTGAGCTTAGCTGTCCCTCCCAGTAACTTATCTTGCACAAACCTGCATCACCCCAGCAGTAGGAGTGCTACATCATCCTTGAAGAGGGTGGCATAGGTAAAGCCCCTGGAGCGGGTGTCAGCCACTCCAGGAAGAGCAGAGGGCACGGGATGAGGGCAGCGATCAGAACCGCTCACTAGGAGGTAAACGGGACGTCTGCATCCATCGCACGGGGGCACCCACACCGGGATTTTCTTTGATTGCTCCAGTGGCGAGTGGGACCTGACTGTGCAACCTGAGATCTGGAGCAGAAGTTTTTACCCTGTCCCCAAGGAGAGCAATGAGGACAGCAGCCTCTGCTAGATTTTGACACACTCCCAAACTGCACTGAGGATCGACAGCCAGTGAAGGGTGGGGCAAATTAAAGGTCGAAGTTATTTTAGAAATGTCCAAATATGCCTCTCTTCTGGGAAAATGGGTCTTCTCTTATTTTGAGGAGACATCAAAAACATTGGCAAAAGCAGAAACACTGCCTGCTCTGAAAACACTGACAAAGCCAAGAACATAAGAGGCTCCTCTTTTGCAAACACAGCTAATAATAAGAAAATGGAGAGAAGCAGGAAAAGTGAGCTGCTAAGCTTCCATTGACATTTGACTGCCCCGTGCTTCATTCATATCAGAGAGCAAAACTGTTTAAAAATGAATGTGTGACATTCTACAACCCGCACCTTGAAAAAATATCACACAAATCCCCAGCACCGGCAAAGAACTTTGCTTACACGACTTCCGTAGATAAGAAAATAAAACAAAATAAAAGGGAGAAAAAACAGATTACTGTAAGAAGGAGCTTTAGTTTTCTTTTTTCCTCCAACTCAAAGAAAAAAAAAAATCCTAACAACTAAATCATTTTGCAAAGAGGTTTTTCTTCACTAAAATGACATGCTTATGGTAAGTACTACCCATCTTTTAAACTTCATTAGATTCTTAAAAGGATATTCCTTGCAACATATTCCAACAGGCTTTATTTATTCATAGCACATGTCAGAGTGGCATTTACAAGCAAGTTCAAGCACACAGCTGAGCCGCAGCCCTTCACGAGATGGGTAGCTAGGCCAGTTACACTCATTGCAAGGAAGGGTCAAAGAGAACTTAAGCCTTTTCCTATGTCTGTGGAAAATCACTATTTTAAAGCAAGCTAATAATTCAGACCAGGAGAGCACAGATTTATGGAGAAATGTCCAATGTTTGCTGCAAACTTTTGAAAAAATACATCTGTTTCATCTGCTCAACTAGTTGAGGTTCAGCCTTTTACAGTTAGTGGTTTCAATTCAAACCCACAGCTATTCAAATTGGGTAGATGATTACAGAGTGCATATTTAGATCTCACAAAATCTCCATGGTGTATCTGCTTCTGCAGATGAAGATGCAAACAGGGGAACCGTCCTTGAGTGATGAAGCAAAAAGCTGGCGTTTAATGATGTTAAAAGCTTTGCTTCCAGTGTTCAGCAATGTTAGCACAGTCAGATTTATTAACTATGAGCTACAGCCGTGGGAGCCCCCTTTTTTTGTGCTGTGGTACCTGAGGTAACAACAATAGTCTTGAAGTGTATTAACCCTGCTATGCGGTTATTTTAATCCTTTAGATTTGCTAATCATACACGCCTATGTGAATTCTCTGGCAACAGGAATTAAAATTTCTCAGTGGGAAACACTAATCCAAAATGCAGAAGTCCTTAATAACAAGCACTCTGGACTGCTGGGGTGAGCCATTACAGACGACCACTACTGGTGTTTAAAAATGGTGAGTCAAAAAGGGTGACTTCCTTATTAAATCCAGATTAAATTATTTGTGACAATAATTATCTTTAAGTCCCATTGCCTGGTATCTTTTCAGAAATGTCAACAAGCTACAAAGAGCTGGAATTGGCAAACTCGTTTTCTCTTTCAGTGAACGAGCAATAACATTTCTGCATGTGCTAGGCAGGAAAAAATAACCCCAAACCCAAGCCCATTAGTCCCCAAAGGCCTGCTTACAAAAGCCCTATGCAAAGCAGTTCTACCTGGTCCTGTAGAAGACAGAGAGGCCCCTAAAACACTGGCTTGAATGCCTAAAAAGAAAAGGTGACATGAGTTTAAAGTTCTCAATCTAACTCGCACACACAAACGAGGCTGCTCGCAGGTGGACCAGCTAACGCTTACGCAAGTTCAGAGAGAAGCCACACAGAAAATTGTTCTGCATCTGAAAATGCTACAATTTTCTTTCAACAGCATGTTATCAGTTTCCACCTTTCTCCCTCTCTATTCCAAGAATGTAAAAATTCGTCGTCTAAATTTAGAGGGAAAAGGAAGACAGATCTCTCTTGAGGATTTCAGAGCTAAGCTTGCCAGACACATCAAGGGGCTCTCAGTTTCTAAATGTGCCTTTTCTGCTTTCGTTATGTGTCTGGATAGAGTGGCAGCACAGGACTAAGCCTATTTGGTCCTTACCATCATTATAATTCTTAGAAAGGATTATAAAATCAAATGACTAGCACTTTCTGGAATGTTAGGGATGTGACTTAAACCCACAGCTAGGTAGAATTTTATTTTCCAGCGTGTCAAAATGCCTTCGGAATTGGAAAAGCATTTATCTGGAAATGCTGTTTCCAAAAATAGGGCTCTTCAAGAGATCTCTGTGAATCACTGACAAGCTGCATCAGTGACACGGCTCCTGCTCTCCTTACTGACCAGCCTCCCCTAAACACAACAACTGCAACACCCAGATGAAACTGCTATCAGTGCATTAGTGTCAATCACGGGCCGGCTGCAGGCTGCCGCCAGCGTGTACCCAGCACAGTCTGTCACCAGGCACTGAGAAGACACTTGCCATCTCATGCATTATGCAGTTGGAAAGGGGAAGAAATAAAGGACTGGGCAGATATTTGGAAGAAGAGTCTGATACAATCAACACAGGGTGAAGAGGCTGAAATGTCAAAAAGTGAATAAGGTGATATTAATGGCCGTTTTACGTTTAAGCGTAGAGAAAATGTGCCAAGAAGAAAACAGGAGTCCATAGATAGGGGTTACTGGGTTGCCCTTTTCAGTTCAAGAGGGTTTGTAAATGAAGAGATGATGTTTACAGGCACTATACACACACAGGAGGGATGAGACAGAAAGATGCTCAAAGCAGAATAAAAAGATGAAAGCAGCTGTATAATCAGGCAGTTGAAGCTAACCCAACTAAAGCAAGGATAAGAACTATTGGCAGTGAACCTAAACTAAGTGCAAAAAACTAAGTGCAAATTTTGAAAAAAAAAAAAAAAAAAAAAAAAAAAAAAAAAAAAAAAAAAAAAAAAAAAAAAAAAAAAAAAAAAAAAAAAAAAAAAAAAAAAAAAAAAAAAAAAAAAAAAAAAAAAAAGAAAAAAGATGGAGATTTGATTCAGCTATTGTTGAATCTTCTACTTCTATCAGAGAATAGATATAAAATGTTGAAGCACGATATTAAAATTGCAGGAGTTCCAGTTTCACAGTCAAGGAATGCAAACTTAGTATCAAGTACAAAGCACTTACTGTCATGGGCATTAATCAGAAAGCTCAAGCAATGTTTTCAGTTAGATGTATCTGCAGGATCAGACTCATATTTTGCAGAGGTCTGGATAAACTTCAGGGATTATATTTTAAAAGCAGCTTCAAACTCTTCTTTAACTTTTTATATCAATTTTACATGCATGAATGTTAAATCTGTAACTGCCACTCCTAAAGAGCTCTTGTACATGTACGTTGACAGATCTAATTTTAGATGTTTCACAAGGATGGATTATATACACCATAATGTAGATTTGCATGCACAGGTAATTTAGACATTAGGTATACATCACGTAAGTTAAACATGAAATTTCCTCCTACAGACAAGAATTGCATATTGCCCTCATTTTCAATAACCAGTTTAAGAAAGCTACAAAATACAATTCCTTTTAGATATTTGTGTGCAGCAGCCTGCTAGGGGTTCACATATTATTTATGATGAAATCTGCACAAATTTAAGGCAGGCAGCAATCAGCCATGCAAATACCCAATTGGGAGCACTGGTTAAATAGCAGTTCTATTGAAAAGGATCTCTGTCCCCTAAACCTGTAGTAGATCACAAACTCCATTTGAAAGAACAGTTTCATGCTGGTGTAAAAATAAAGGAGGGATTATACACGGCACTATGGTCTGCAAGCCACAGGTAATCCTTTTGCTCTGACCGAGGATCGGTGAGGCCTCTGCTGCAGTACTGCACTTCAAATAAGATGTGTGCCAAAGCGACACATACAAAAGCAGAACAAGAAAGGTAAATCTAGAAAACGTGACCTACAAGCCAAGGCCAAAGGAAATATGGATCTTTAATCTACAGAAAAGAAAATCGAATAGGGTTGATAGGTCTTCAAACATAGGAAAAGACACCGCAGAGAAGCTGTTCTCCCTGCCTACAGGGGCCGGGAAAAAAGTAATGGGGCTAAGCTAGGGGAAAGGCTGTTCATTTTAAACTTTGGGAAAACTACATGCAGTAGAGACTGCCCATCTCTCAAGCCGACTGGGCAGGTTGGCTGTGAAATCTCGGTCACTAGAGGTCTTTAAAGACAGAGCAAGAGGAATGAGAGTTAAAAGCAGCAGTACAGCCTTCTGGCAGCCTGACAGGTGGGGCATCTTCTCCCCGTGCTCCGATGGTCCTGCTTAAAACTGCAGTTCATCACATGCTCCCTTTGTGCAGACCGTAACCTCAGGCGAGCTGAGAAATATTCTCTGGCCTAAGCACATAGGCAGCTTCCTGCTTCTTATAGCCGCTATAAGGGCAAATCCT